TATATATATAACTGATCGCGCTTGAAGAACTAGGCATTGAAATAACAACAAATCTCTGAACTTCTATTTCTGCCAGCGGTGAGATCCCAGAAGATATGATAAAGTCAGTTTTTATAGCTTTACCTAAAACACCAGGTGGCGCTGAATGTGATATGCATAGAACAATTAGCCTCATGGGTCATTTTACAAACATATTTCTGTGAGTACTAATGGGGTAAACGTCTGAGACCAGAGATATTTAAAACATAATTCGGCTTTGTTCCTGACAGGGCACCAGAAATGCTATATTCACCTTAACATTGTTAATGGAAAGATGTATTGAAGCACAGAAAGATCTGTATTTCTGCTTCATAGTTTATTCAAAGGCGTTCGATAAAGTTAGACATGATGAGCTATTTAAAATACTGGAAAAGCTAGACATTGACGGAAAAGATCTGAGAATTATCAGGAATTTGTACTGGGACCAAAATGCTGCTGTGCGAATTAATGGAGAATACAGTGAATATAATCAGATTAGAAGAGGAGTGAGGCAAGGATGTGTTATGTCTTCAGACCTCTTTAACATGTACAGTGAAACAATCCTTAGAAACACAGAAGAATGTCCAGGTCTCAAAGTGAATGGCAAAAATGTGTCACGACGCAGTGTAATCAGGCGCTCGTCAATTTTTTGGGATGTGGAGTTATTTGTATTGTCTGAAAGCTGATTTATTTGCCTTGTTTCTAAAGAAATAAATATCCATTTACCGGAAATAGAACTCAAGATATTTTCGATAGAAGGAAGTGGGGTCGCTTGTTTCAGTGGTGAAATTTGCGAGAAAATGGCCGCCAAAGTTTGATGACTCCAACAGCTAATGAGTCTTTGAAAATTGAAATATGACATATTTTGTGCCTTTAATTAATGATTTTAAGTAAAATTCAATGGAAATTGGTTTTTTATAGACATAAAAGAGGTAGAGCCAAAAAACTAAAATTCGATGAAAATTTCCAAACTGGCAGAAAAATGCC